CTGGTGGGTACTACGATAGCACAATCCCCATGGAGGGTAATTTGGCAATTTGGAGCAAAATTCTTATATGCATTCTCCCTTTGACCCAACCAATCCACTTCAAGGAATCCATTCCAAAGATATACTGGCGAAGAGAAAAGACATACACATGAAGTCATTCATGGTAACTGCTGTTGGTAGAAGCTACTTTACAAAAGACTGCAACAGCCCAGGGGACTGACTGAATAATACTATCAAGTATATAATTCCATATACTACTGTGGAGTGATCACCACAATATATTGTAGGTGGGAAAAAAAAAACAAAAACAAAACTCAGTAGGCAAAACAGTGTGTTTAATATGCTATCTTTTTATTGAATAAAGAAATAAACACTGCACGCACACGTATGTATTATGTATTTGCTCACATCAAAAATAACAAAAGAAGGATAGAATAAAAATGAATTCGTTATAGTATGAATAAAATAAAATGAATTTAATAATAAAAATACTCTATGGGAATAGAAGCAACAGGGGTCAGACACAGAGATAAATGTTAGACTCCTCTGAATATATCTTGTTTTGTGAGTTTAGTTTTGGCATTGTGTAAAGTTTTATATCATCATAAAACAAAATTAAATTAAAATGAAGTATAAGCAACCCCTAAAAAGCAAAAGCAACATGAAACAAATGAACTTAACTAGGTATCATTGATGGATTAAACTCCGCAGAATTATTTCAAGTGGCAGAAGCAAAATCATTTGTCTGTACTTCTCTAGTCTGGTATACCTGAAGGCAGAAAGAACTATAAAGAAATTTTAAATTGGTTTTAGTAATGATAGTGTTAGTAATGTTATTCTGAAACTATTATATTTTCTACATGTACCTGTATGTGTGTATGTATTAAGATAAAGCAAATAAGCAATTGTGTTAATATCACTATAAACAAGAATGTCTACTTAATTGAAAAGAGATACAAATATAAAATGAAGGAAGCTTACATAGATGACTTTTATGGTATGTGAATTGTATCTTAGTGAAGCTATGAAACAAGAGAAAGAAAGTATAAATCTTGTCATCCTGAATTTGGATTGGGAATACTAGTATAAATGCATGATGTATTTTCTCTTTAAAAAGTATTGCCTGCTTTGTCCCCCTGAAAAGGCCTGGGGAAAATGACTAACCCTAGCAACATGAGCAACCTAGCCATCAAGATGGTGGTCTCTAAATACCATTTCCAATGAAAAGGAACCAGGGCTCCTTGGAAGATGACTGACTCCAGGTGGAGGCAAGAAATGTACAGGATGAACGTGGGACATCTTTAAATACTAGACATCAAGGCTGTTTTCTAAGATTACTGGGGTATGTCAGAAGGATTCAGGAGCCAAGAGGAAAAGGCCAAAGGGAGAAGAAGAGAGAGGAAGAAACCTATGGATTTAGAAGAGACTAGAGACCAGCGCAATTCAATGTGTGGACCATACTTACATTCTGATCTAAATAAGCAACTATTAAAGTAAGCAACAACAGCAAACATTAATGAGTTAATAATAGGAGAAATCTGAAATTGACTGTTGCTATTAAGAAATTATAGCTAGGGGCGCCTGGGTGGCTCAGTTGTTAAGCGTCTGCCTTCCGCTCAGGTCATGATCCCAGGGTCCTGGGATCGAGCCCCGCATCGGACTCCCTGCTCTGCGGGAAGCCTGCTTCTCCCTCTCCCACTCCCCCTGCTTGTGTTCCCTCTCTCGCTGTGTCTCTCTCTGTCAAATAAATAAATAAAATCTTTAAAAAAATAAAATAAAATAAATTATAGCTAGTGTTTTAGATGTGATAATGGCTTTGAGAGGAGTTGTTTAGGTGTGGTTATGGTTTTTAAGGTGGCCTTACCTTATAGAAATTAATGCTAAAGTATTTTATGGATAAAATGGCATGATTTCTGGGAGTTTCCAAAATAATATAGAGAGTGGGAGGGGCTAAGAGAAACAAAATTGACCATGGCTGAAATCACTGGATCTGGGTAACAAGTCCATGAAGTTTCACTGTTTTGTTTTTCAACTTTTGTGCATGTTTGAAATCTCCCATAATAAAAAGTTTTAAAAATATATCCCCACATGGCGGGAAAAAAGAGTACCCTTTGCACAAAGGTGCACCCAACTAGGAGAAAGAAATGTTTGAGGAGGCTGGCTCCATCTGTCAAGAAATAAAGAGGGGCTGCAAAATGAGCAGCTAAAACATGAAGACCCAATAAAAGAACAAGGAAAAACAGATAATAAAAATAAGAAATAAATAGGTTCTACACTAGCAGCAAAGAGTTTTAAGAAATGCTTATCAGACCCCATGTCGTGCTTTTTGCCAGGATCTCTCCCATGAATTATTTTTGTTCATTACTTATGGTCTTCATCAGCTCTAGCTTCTTTAACAGACTACCATAAGCTGGGTGGCTTCTCAACAACAGAAATGTGTTTCTTATAGTTCTGGAGGCTGAAGTCTGAGATCACAACACCATCATGGTCAGGTTCTGGTGAGAGCCATCTTCAGGTTCAGATGGCTGGCTTCTCCTTGTATCCGTATATGGTGGAAAGAGAGCTAGTTAGCTCTCTGGCCTCTTTTTATTTTTTATTTTTATTTATTTTTAAAGATTTTATTTATTTATTTGGCAGAGGAAGACAGTGAGAGAGGGAACACAAGCAGGGAGAGTATGAGAGGGAGAAGCAGGATTCCTGCTAAGCAGGGAGCCCGATGTGGGGCTCAATCCCAGGACCCTGGGATCATGACCTGAGCCGAAGGCAGACACTTAACTGACTGAGCCACCCAGGCGCCCCTCTGGCCTCTTTTTAGAAGGGCACCAGTCCCACTCATGAAGGCTCTACTCTCATGACCTGATTACCTCCCTAAAGGCCCCTACCTCCGCACACCATCACAGTGGGGATGAAATCTCAACATACGAATTTGAGGGAACACAGACACTCAAGACTGTTACACTAATATTGGAACTGATATTTTTTGGGGTCATATTTTCACTCGTGTATCCATGTACATTTGATTGTTGGGAGTCAAGTTGGGTCACGTTACCAGCAGCTTACTGTTTTTGTTTGATCCTGTCTTTGTGTATTGAGAGAAAGTTGCATCCATTTGCATAGTGATGTTTTCATTATTATAAAGTGAAAAAAGAGTCTACGGAGCTCAGTACAGATATATACCAAAAGGTTAGTTGCCTTTGTGTTTTAGGATTATGGGTATTTTTTATTTATTTGTGTTTATGTGTCCATCCATCAGTATTTTTTCCCCAAAATTAACACTTACTACAAGCTACACCATAAATAAGGTTTTTTTTAAAAAGTAAAAATTAACATAATGAACTTTCTAATCAGCTGAATAACACAGGGAAAAGGAGAGGAAAAGGAAAAAAAATATGTTGAGAACGTTTGGCAAGATCTTAGGAGATTTTATTAGCATATGACAGCCAGTACCTATTGGGAAGCAGACAAAATCCTGTCCAAGCCTGATTGAGAAACTTTGCAAACATTTTATAAGCTCAGTCCCGACGCAGGAGGAGAGGTTCTTGGTGCGGGCTTATCCAGGGACCTTGTTTTCTTTGCTGTTACACGTAGGCTGTGGCCAGGACCCTCAGTGCCTCTGGGAGAACATCAGATATATTAATGTACTTCGATTTGATCTGTCAGGTATGAGAAACATGCATGCCCCCTGTACACAGAAGGGAAGCGTGCTAACTCAGAAGTCCAAAGGAAAGCTGCTCTGCAGGGAATGGCCTTTCTGTTATCAAGTGTTGACGACTTCTTCCTAGCCATGAGTAATGGGGCTTGGGGGGGGTGGGGCAGGATGGCAAGTTTTCTGCCTCTTTCAAGTTCACTTCAAAATCTCTAATAATATTAGGCCTCCAAGTGATTATTGATAGTATTCCTCCTGGGTAGGGTGATCATGATGGTTAGTGAGGATGGAAGTGAGAAAGGTTTGCTTAAGTTGGAGTATATTCAGAGGGCTAAGTTCTAGCTCCTGGGCTTGTACGGCCTCTCCTCCAGTCTTCAGGTTTTCAGGGGCTGATTCAGGTTGAGTTAGAAACACAGGGATGGAGCCAAGGCCTAGGCCTCTTCCACACCTTCATTCTTGGCCGGCAAGGCCCCAAGCAGGCCCCGCTTCAAGAATCAACACACAGTAGACGATCAGGTGCTGGCCATGTTCTGGGCCACCAGGTGCCCCGAGAAAGGTCTCAAAATCCAGTGCTAGGTTCCATGCATCCCTGAAGAGCTTGGTTTCTCCCGTCGTTCTCCCCTCATTGCCATCTCAATCCCTACTGACTTTGTCCCCACCACCCACAGCCTGCACCCTGGCAAGTAAAACTTTCTTTTCCCTTCTCAACTCAGCATCATCCCGCCCTTCCTTTTCTCCCCCTTTCCCTCCCATCTTTCCTCCAGGCCAAAATTACCCCCTCCTCTTCTGCATGTGCCCCTCCCCCACCTCCTGAGGAGCTTGGGGTTCCCTCCATCCTTGTCTCTGCCAGGCTCCTACCTGTGGGAGGCCTCCCTTCAGCCCTGCCTCCTGTGGCTGTTCTCCCTCTCATCGAGAATTCTCCTTCCTCCTCACCCTGGGTGGTCCACCTCCCAGAATGCTCCGGGCACTAGCTGTCTTTGGGTCTCTTTCTGCTCACCTGGTCAGTATGTCACCTCCGTGTTCCCAGACTGCAGGGACAGTGTAGGCGCGTGCCTGGGTCGCCTGCCAGAGAGCTTGCCGTGCTGCACCTCCATCCTGGCCGAGCGGTCTTGCCTCTCCACCCCTGTAGCCAGCCGTGTGGGGACTGGCCAGACCTGCCCCTTCAAACTCAGGCTCCAGTAGACAAGCTGTGTCAGATGCCGCACAGCAGCTCCCCCCTGACCAGGGGCAGGGAGGGTGCTGGAGCGGGAAGGTGCTTCTAGCAGATCCACTGCCCTGACAGATGTGCTGAAGAGCCAACCTGTACTCCTGCTTGTTGCCTTTGGGAATCCTCAACAGCCCTGTTGTATTCCAGGTTCTCCAAGCCAGCACCCATGTTCCTGGATGACTCTTTCCGCAAGTGGGCTAGGATTCGGGAATTTGTGCCGCCTTTTGGGATCAAAGGTCAAGGTAGGTTGGGAGCCCTGGCTCACTCTATATTAACATGGGATCCCTCAGCCTGTCTCCCTGCACTCAGGACAGGGCTGTACACTCAGAAGTCCCCATGCTGGGGATCCACTCCTCTCCCTCCCTCTTCCCCTTCCTTTCTTTCTTCCGACTTCAATGGACTGTTTGTTTACTCAGAACCCACCACTTGGCCAGGGTCAGGCATACAGCAGTTCAGTGGACAGTACAGTCCTGCTCCTTAAAAAAGCTCCAGTCTAGTGGAGACCCAGGTACTTAGAGTGCAGGGCAGTAAGGGCTCTGACAAGGTAAGAGCACAGTGAGATCACAGGACAGGATGCCAGGGACATCCGTGCCGGAGGACCAGATATGAGAGGGAAATCCCTGAGAAGACAGAGGCCATCCCCGACAAAGACCCCAGCCTCCTCCATCATCCCCTCCTTACTACCCTGGTCTCTCCAGTCCTTTCTTACCCTGTCCAAGGCTTACCTGTCCCCTGTGCCCTCAGAACTGTCCCCTTCCATTGCCTTAGGGACCTTGCTCATGCAGCTCCCTCCTGACTTAAGACTTTCCCACCCCTGACAGTTTAACAGTTCTGTTGCCTTGTCAAGTGCCTGCACTGTTTCATGGCATTGTAGAGTTTGGGCTTTTAGGGTTAGACATTGAAGGATCAGATCAGTACTACTTCTTTACTAGCTGTGACCTTGGACAAGTTACTTAACCTATCTGTGCTTTAGTTTCTTCATCAGTTAGATGGAGAAAAATACTACCATTGTATTAGGTTGTGGTCAGAATTAAGTAAGATCACTGTTGAAGGCGTGATATCATTTGGCCAGGGGACTAAAAAACACATGAATCCTCCACTCAGTCAGTCCATCCCTCCCTGAAAAGAAAACAGGGACCGGCAAAAGGACTCTTTGGAATGGGAGTTTTGATCTCAGATCCCCAAAGACAAATGCAGTGGGTAGGGCTGAACCATGTGAAGAACTCCTTTTTACTGGGTGCAGGTAGCTAAGCAGCCTACTCTTCTCCTAAATCCTTGCTCAAGACTCTGATTCTACTAAGCTACAAAGACCTGGAAAGTTTGGTACACAGCCCATTGGCTAGCAAGAAGAGAGCACCTGCTAGTTTATACCCTTTCTCCTAACGTCCCCTCCTAGAAAACAAAAACCCAAGCCATAGCCTTGACTTTGGCCAATGAGTAGCAATATGCTTTTTCTTAGAGGTGAAATGGGAGGTGGGAAAAGGAGGAGGTCTGTGGCCTTCTCTGAAGCCCTGCAGAAGGGATGCCTGAAAGCACTGAGTATAGAACCCTCCTTAAAGATCTCTTCCTTACCCATTCTCCTTCATCTCCTGGGAAGATTCGCTGTGCCTGCTGCCTCCTCTTACTCACCATTTAGTCCTGAGCACTCTCTTCCTTCCACCATCCGAGTGACACTGCTCAGTGCCCCCGTGAAATCCAAAGGGTCTGTTTCAGTCCCCAACTTGACCTCTTGGCTGCATCTGACAGTGTTGTCCACCCTGTCTTTTAAAAAAAATGATGGGGCTGTTATTTTTAAGTTGGGAGGCATTCTTTCTTTACATGGAATACTTCAGGCATATAAAAAAGAATGAAGACTAGTACAGTGAGCACCGTGTACTGTGTACCCAGCTTAAGGAATAAAACATGAAATACAGTTAAAGCTATGTGTAGCCCTTCCCGTTCTATTCCCCTCCTTCTCCAGGAGACCGTTAGTCTGGTTTTAGGGTTATTGTTCCAATGCCTGTGTATCTATTTCTGTGACATATTTCTATATCCATCTAAAATGTATTGTTTTTGCATGTTTTTACATTTTACAAATAATATTTTGTGTGTGTGTGTACTTTTCAGATTAATTTTTTTGCTTCTGCTTTTCAGGTTTATCTGTATCAGTACACATAGCCCAAGGTCGCTTCTTTATTTGTTTTTACTGCTGTGTAGTATTCCATGTACCACATTTAATCTGTTTTCCTTTGGCAAACATTTAGTTTGCCTCTAACATTTACTATTACAGACAGGTCCGCAGCAAACCTTCTTGTCTCCTTAAACAAATGTGTGAGCATTCAGATGCTGTCTTCCTAGGAAGAGAGTTGCACGATCTTAGTGTACGCACATCTACATCTTTGCTTAATGTTATTAAGATGCTCTCCACTATGGCTGCACTGATTTACTTACTTTATCTCCAGATCTCTATGTACATTACCTTTTCATCTTCCTAACGACTCTGCAGCATAGGAATTGCCATCTTCATTTGAAAGATGGGGAATTAAAGCGCGAAGAAAGTAAGTGATTAATCGGAGGTCCCAGAGCTCTGAAGTAGCGCAGCCAGGATTTGACTCCAAAGTCAATATCATTATACATTATATGATAATGTTCCCATTATGCCAGAGTTTGAAAAGAGAGCAGTTCCCATCGCCAAAGCCAGAGAGAGGCCAAGAAGAATGAGGTCTGAATAGTGGTCACAGGATCTGAGGACACAGAGGTCCTGGGCCCCTTGCTGAGGACCTCCTGAGTGGAGTGCAGGTGGGCAGATGCCAGGCCTTAGGGCTTGGAGCTGGAAGGCGGCAGAGACAGGCTGGCAAGACCAAGACTGGAGATCGGCAGTGTTGGAGGGGGAAGTGAGGGGAAGACAGTATCAGAGACTGAGGCAAAGGGGTCTGAGTTGGGAGCTGGCAGAGCCCACTCGAGCTCTTTAGTGTTAGTGGCCTCTGTCTCTGGGCAGATCCCGGGCCTGGGGATCCGTGTCCTGGGGCCTGAGTGCAGAGCCTCCGAAAGCCAGAGGAGACCTCCCAGGAAGGGCTGGGAGCCCTGGGAGAGAAACTGCATGTCGGTGCTGGGGACTGGCTCTGGGCAGAACCGAGTGTGCCTGCCTGTTCCCCTGCCTCTGTCTCGTTCCTCGGGGCTACAGCTAGGCCAGTGGCCCAGCGCAGCCTTGTGCCCGGAGCTCCCTCCCCACACTGTCACATCCACCTCCACCCTGCGCAGGGGCGTGTGCCTCCCCCCCCATCATCCGCAAACACTGCACGGGCATGCCAGTGACCCTCTAACGGTAACCTCCCTCCTCTGTCCACAGACAATCTGATCAAAGCCATCTTGTCAGTCACCAAAGAGTACCGCCTGACCCCTGCCTTGGACAGGTGAGCCACTTACTACCCAGCCCCCTGCCCCTCGGCTGCCTGGCATGTGCAGAGGCGTTGAGACCCCGCCAGCCCTGGCTGGACACGAGCAGATTCTCCAGCGTGTCCACAGGCGCACACACGGCGCTCATGCTGGGGTGGTAAGCAGATAAGATAAGGGGGGCCATCCAGCTGGCCTGCACCCCCTGGGCTGTAAGCACTTGGCAAGATATTTCAGTCCTCAGCCGTCCGAGGTCTGAGGGTAAGGACAGAAGACACTGGGCTGAAATCAGCGCAGCACTGGGACCGAGAGCCTGGGTGGTCGAGGCAGGTGAGGGGGCCAGGGCTTAAATGCAGGAGGCAGTGACAGCTCTGAAGCCAATGGACCCTGGAGGGGGGAAGCCCCAGGCGGGAGGAGCAAGATGAATAGGGCTCTCTGATGGCCAGTGGGAGCATGGGGGCTTCTGAGCTGAATATAAGCCCAGCCTTGGGTCCCAGAGCCTCCAGGCCTGTCCTCTCTCTTGAACTCCACTAACCCTTGGGAACCTTTAGCCTAGAATGCCATCTTACCAGAGGCCCCTTCCTCACCACCCCAGAACTGGTGCCCTTGCCCCTTCCACAGCCACGCTGTCCTGGAGAGTGTCTGGGACTGGGGATGTCAGAGAGTCCCAAGTGGCCCAGCTACCCACAGTATGGCTTTGGCCTCAGAATGCTGCCAGAAGCCCATTGGTCTTCCCCGATCCTGCACTTGGCCAGAGGGGTAGGGAGAAGGAGCCCTAGTGGACAGCTCTCTAGAGGTCTCTGCCTCTCTCCCCTCAGCCTCAACTGCCGCCGCTGCATCATCGTGGGCAACGGAGGTGTCCTTGCCAACAAGTCTCTGGGGTCACGAATTGATGACTATGACATTGTGGTCAGGTGAGCTCCCCAAAGCAGGGCCTCAGGCACCTGAGTGTCCTGGCCCAAACCCTTGTCCCCGAGTCCATTGAGAACTGTCTGTCTATCTGGCCATTTGGGCTGGAGGTCAGCAGAAGCCTAGAGAAGAACCTCTAGGTTTGGAGGGCTCTGGAAAGCTAGGTGGCTCCAGGTGACCTGGCTCCCTGTTCTCTGCACCTGGGGAATTCTGGGGTCATAGTCCCTTCCCCAAACACGAGCCCACAGGCTCCGTGCAGTGAGCCCAAGGCAGGCTCTGACTGGGCCTGCTCTCTGTAGACTGAACTCAGCACCAGTGAAAGGCTTTGAGAAGGACGTGGGCAGCAAAACTACACTGCGCATCACCTACCCTGAGGGCGCCATGCAGCGGCCCGAGCAATACGAACGCGATTCTCTATTTGTCCTCGCTGGCTTCAAGTGGCAGGACTTCAAGTGGTTGAAGTACATCGTCTACAAGGAGAGAGTGGTGAGCTCCCCATGCACCAGCTCCTTCCCCTCTTGCCCTGGCCTTGCCTGGCTTCCAGGTCAGCCCCTTTCCCTGAACCCAGCAAAGAACAAGTAGGAACCTTTCAAAAGAAGCGTCAATGACCTAAAGCTGAAAGACACACCCAAACTCAACCAAGGGACAGAGAGGCCAGGGGATCCAAGGGGCGCTGGTGTGGGCTCCTGGAGCTACTATGTCTGATATCTGCCACCCGCCCAGATGCCCAGACTGTGTATGCTTTTCCAGCCTTCTCTAGCCAGACCCTGAGTCCCTCCCCAGCAGGCCCTGCAGGCCCTGCAGGCCCTTTCCTGGCCTTAGGTCCCCCTGGAAGGAAAGCTTTCATCTGGCTAGCCTCAGTGTCACTCCTAATCATCTCAGTCCCCTGCCCTGACCTTGTAGTGGCCTCCCCAAGCCCCTTACCCTCTGCGAGGCCTCTCTCATGTGGATCCACCCTCATTCCCAGCCCGGGGAGGAAAGCCTTATCTGGATTCTGGGGCTATTCTGCAGGGATAGCAGACCCCTCAGTGAGCTTGAGGGGGCCAGTTCCCAGGCCCATAAAGTCTTGGTCTCTCCCCACTTTGTACTTGTACTGCTGACCTGCAGCTGGATTCCCCAACTGCCATTGAGTCTGGTTGCACTTCGGGAATGATCAGACTCTGTCCTCATTGTTGTAGGCAGGCAAGGGCCTGGGCCCATTTCTCTAGGGAGATTGTGTGGCCAAGTAGGGTGACTGCTTCTTGGTGGACCACCCACTGAGTCCCCTCCTGAGTTCTCTTTTTCTCAGCTCTGGGTCTACAGGGATACCTGCCAACGTGTCTGGGCCCATTTCCCCTCTCCCCTCAACCAGCTGTCACCAGCCACCCGAGGGGAGGGGTACTGCAGAGTTCAGGCCATTCGTCTTCCAATACCCAAGCCTCTTACCAGAGGAGAATGATAACAGATGGCCTCCGCCTACAGTTAGAAGCTGGTTGTTCTTTCTGGAGGTTTAGAGGCGAGTTCGGGGGTGGGAACAGCTTAACCTGCCTAAGGAGGTCTCAGTGCAATTTGGTTTAACTCCACAGCCCTTTCCCAAGCAATGCCAAGTGCAGGCAGTGTCAAGTAGGTAGCAAGCGAGAGAGAAGACAGAAGTCAGGTCCAGAAATTCAGGTAGGTGGGACAGTGGGGAAGGGGAACCCACCCAGAGCCAAGCTGAATGAGGCAGCCAGGCTGCACTGAGTCTAACTTGGCTCCCCAAAGGGGAGCAAGGGGGTTGGCTTCAGCCAGCTCTAGCTGCAAGAAGGCCCATGCAAACCAGGGAGAGAATGGGGGCTGAGGGAGCACCCTTCTGTTTTTAGAACCATGGCCTGAAAACTAGTGTCCTCAGGGCCCGCCCTTCTCTCTGCCTTGAAGGCAACAGAAGTGGGATCACAGATAGGCATCTCTCAGGGGAAATGGGAGGGAATTGAGTCTGCCTTGGTGAACCTCCAGGGAGCCCGAGGGCTGCTTTCTCGCCCTGGCCTCTTGCCCGCCGGCCCAGCCTCTCCTGGCACATCCTCTCCTCTGTGCACAGACACCTGTCAGAGGAGCTCCTGGACGGCAGGGGCCTCAACCCATTGGCTTTTTTTAAACCCCTCAATGCCCAGTCATCATAAATGCCCTGGTGTTGGCTCAAACACCAGATCCTGCTTCCTGCTGAGCAGACCGGGTTCGAACAGGCAGGCCAGGGAGGGTGATTCAGGGCAGCCAGGTGGATGTTATCGCCTGTTCCTTCCAAGAACACCAAGGTCAGTTCATTCAAGGCTCTTATAGTTCATCCAAGGAAGAAGGGAAAGAAGGCAGAAAAGGAGGGCAGTCAGCTAGAGTCGGGAGACTCCCTGTGCTCCAGCCACTCAGGGAGCAGACAGCAGGGCCTCACTATTCCCAGGAAGACTCTGAGGAGCTCCCCCCTGGCCTGGCCTTGGCTGCAGGCCGACCGAAGGTACTGGAGCAGTTGGGATGAGGAATTAGGAGCTGCGCTCAGGCACGCACTCACCCATGTGGATGTCTGTGTCCTGGCCTGGCCGTGCCCAGGGATGTAGGACCAGTCTTGTTTTAGTGAGAACTCATTCCCAGGGTTGGTAGGGGTGAGTGAGGAGAGAGAGGGGACCGGGAGGAGTCCTTTGAAATTCCATGAGCCTTCCCTGGCTCCCAAGTCAAAGATAACTTGGGCCTTTAGAGTGAGCTGCCAGAGGAGAGCCAGCGATGCCCATGGCCTCCCCAACCCTAGCCCTTCTTGGCAACACAGGAAGCCTCTCCTTTAGAACCCTTCCCTACTGGGCGCCTGGGTGGCTCAGTCGGTTAAGCGACTGCCTTCGGCTCAGGTCATGATCCTGGAGTCCCGGGATCGAGTCCCGCATCGGGCTCCC